AACATTTTTTTCATGAAGATCATGATCTAAGGGATTACAACTATCTACTTTATATTAAATTATTTTTTTACATACTATATCACAATTTAGTCAACAAAAATCGAAACAAAACAAAATATTGTTCTTAAAATAAGATTATTTTTTATATTACTTACAATACAATTTAAAAAGGAAACACTCAGCAGGGTACCAATTTTTTGAGTTTGGCTTACGAATTACCGGTTGTTTTCTCTTTAAAATATTTTGTAATCGGATCATTTTTCATAAACTGTTCAATTTTTAACTTGAACTGAAATTTTTAATCGGAAATTAGTGATTTGAAGAAAATATGCACAAATATGCAATATTTCCTAAAATATGCACCAAGTTGCCAAAATATGCATTTTTAACTTACAATTTTGTTGATATACCTCTTAATAACAAATATGCACTTTGCATATAATCCGAGCCTTATTTATGATTAATTTGAGCGGGCTAAAAATCGGGGTAATTACCCAAAAAAGTGACCGGTTTTCCCACCACTCCATTCGAGGTCTCTTTGACTTTGATGGCTTGCACGTCGTAGACTTTGGCAGCGTAGGGACTCCCAGCTGTGGGAATCCCGCTGACGGTGACGTTGATTCGGTGTTCGCCGACAACTCTCGGGACAAACTCGGCTCGGAATTGGGAATTTCCAAGGGATTGGACTTGAGTTGGGACTGCCTGACCCCCAGGGCCTAGGCGAGGTTAAGGATTTTCATCGTTAATTTTGATTAAATCATGGAATGTTTCAACAATTTGGTAAATGATCAAAATGTACTCATTGTGTCAAAATAGAAAGCTTAGGAAGAAGAAGAAGAAAGTGGAAGAGTTTGTTAGTGAATAAAGTTAACAATTGAGGAAATCGTTTAATTAATTTGCTATTGGCTGGTTTCAAGTTCATTCGCTACAGCATCTGTTTAGTAGGTCAGTCGGTGGACACGCAAGCATTTTTTTACTATTTCAATTTATTTTCAATTACACGATTTTGCGTAATCGAAACGATTGCGTTAGTTTCCACTTTACCACAAAAAGGTGAAATTTATGTCAATAATGTAACAACGTTTGTTAAAACAATCAATGAAACTAGTTCAGATTAAAACGTAATTACTTTACATGCCACAATTTTAGTTCTAATCACTTAGCAATGACTTCATTTTCATAGTAACTACAATTATTTTTCTTATAATTTTTAGTAAATCTATAAAATACAAATACATTAATGGTATTACTCAAAAACACCAACAGCTATCACTTCTGATTACTTTTTTTCAAAATAATCATATGCAAAGAAAAAAATAAAGTATTGTGCGCAATCTTGGATTGTATGATTGCAACGTTAAATAGTATCATATACAGAGTGTTTATAGAATATAGACGAATTTGAAATTCCGTTTAGCGTTCTATTTTAATATTTTGTTAAAATTAACATAATAAAATTGTTTGCAATTTACAAAAAAGTGAAAATTTATTGTAATATTATACAAAAAAAAATTATACGACTCTAACAGGAAGTTAGGACTCTAACAGGAGAAAAGTGTACAGTAATTTTCACCTGTGACAAAAAAAACAAACTTTCCTCCCTTGTATTACAAATAACTATAGTTTTTTTGGTATAAAATATGCAAACAAGATTGATATTTGGTACAGTCGAACTACAGACATTTACAAACACCCTGTACCACCAAAATTTAAGAGATCATTGTTCAATTCAATTTAATACTCCTAATGTCAATTAACTTGTTAAAAAAAATCAAAATATTATTATGACGTTATTAACATAATATGCATTTTAAAACATTAATTATTTAATACTGTATGATAATAAAATTAAATAAGTTATGCTCTATGAGAAATAAAACTAAGCATTTTCAAGTTTAATTTATTTATAACCATTTTCCGGAATCAACATGTAATTTTTTCAAATTGAATGAGTTTTCATATTTTGTGACTAGAATAATAATGGCTTCAGTAAAAAAGATTAATTTTCTTAATGCTTGAAGATCTTTATTGCTTATTAGTCTCCAGTAATTACAACATACAGGGTGTCCCAGCAAGTTGAAAAAGTCCATTGGTGACCTTTAAATGGTAAAAGTAAAAAAAAATTATATAGGACATTGACAGATATTATTAAAAATTATTTTCAACTATACAGCGTGTCTCAAAATAAGTTACAATACAAACTTGTATTTTTTTAAATGAAACACCATATGTTTCTTAGCGTGTTTGGATGTAGATTTTTATGACAATGTTTTTAAGCTAAACTTTTATTGGTCGATTTTGCTTAGTGTTAAAAATAAGATGGTTTTTTTGACAAAAACATGCACTTTTTAAAAATTTATTACACAAAAACTAAGACATCTAGAGATATTTTTTTACTACCGCAAAGAAGAAGGTACAAGCTATAAAGTTGTAACATTTTTTTAGTGTGTTGCATTTGCAAAGATAAAAAAATGGAGGCGTTTGTTAAAAGTTCAATAACTTAAAAAAAATTAAATGGATCACCTATTTATTGTTTTTGCATTAAAAAAAATAATTACTATTGTTTCAGTAGCCAAAAAGTGCACAATTGCACAAGAGATGCAAGAAATATCACTTAATAATCACATTTGTGTTAAACTGAATCCATTATTTTTTATTTTTACAATAAAATAATTCCAATTTTAGTATTTATATAACAACTTTTACAATCTCTGGATAAATCAACGAATTTAGACATTAAAAGTTTATTTTTTTGGACAATTTATCAATCTATTAGATGCAAAAATAAAACAGAGTGCTCCATTTAAATTATTTAAGCTATTTAACTTTTAACAAATTTCTTAATTTATTAATTTTTACAAATGCAAAACACTAAAAATTGCTACAGCTTTAAGTTTTGTACTTTTTTTTGCAGAAGTGAGAAAAAATTTGTTCTAACTGTCTTAGTTTTTGTGTAATGAATTTTTAAAAAATGCATGTTTTCGTCAAAAAAAGCGTCTTATTTCTAAAACTAAGCGAAATCAACTAATAAAAGTTTAGCGTAAAAACATTGTTTTAAAAGACTACATCAAAAAATGCCAAGAAACTACGGTGTTTCATTTAAAAAAGCACAAGTTTGTATCGTAACTTATTTTTGAGACATGCTGTAAGGTTAAAAATAATTTTAGGTGATACACTATTTAAAGGTCGCTAATAGACTTTTTCAACTCGCTGAGACACCCTATATATTTTATTACAGCTATTATATTAATTGAAGTTTTTTTTTTGTTTTCAATATTTTTTTCTTCTTTTATTATTCTTAAAACTACGACTACTTTCCAAAATACAAGTGTCAAAAAACATCTGCAATTTAGATTCAAATTTCACAAAACTGAAAGTTTTAATTGAATCTGAATCGATTTGGTGCTTTAATTTATAGGCAATCTAAAACTGTTAAAAATTAAGGTTAATCTCGTTTCCTCGCTTTAACACTAGAAAACTTGAATTTTTACGCAAATTAGTTGTGAAAAGCCTTAAATTGTTTCACGTTTCAATTAATTTAACGAAGTGACTAGCATGATAAAGTTTTGTACAAAAGACCTCTGCCAAAGTAAAACATTCCATGAAAAGTTTGAAATTAACAAAACACAACGTAAAAGAATGATTTTATTTAAATTTTTTAGAAGGTGAGGGAAGAAGGATTTGTTAGTTTGGAATACAGATGAGTTAGTAAAAGTTTGTCTAAAACAATAGTCGCCGGTGACCTGAAAATGGAAAAGAGTGCAAGACAGTGGTAATGATAGTGGAAAAAACAATAAACGAGGAAGTAAGAGAGCATGCTGTATATTTGATACACAATTGAGTACATTTTGTCTTAATCTACACAAAATCAACAATAAAAATACCTTATCTAAAATTATCACATAAAAAAGCAAACTAAAGCAACCCCACGAGAATGAACGAATGTTTTTGTTTCAGGATTTTTTTATTTTTTACTTTCCTTATCATATAATTGTAATTGTATTGTAATCGGCTTATCTCGAGAACGATAAGAGCTAAAATTTGGTATGTGGCAAGGGGACGAAACAATTGGTAAAAATCGGTCGCACCGTTTGGCCACAAAGATACAATAAATTAATTTTTTGACAGATAGAATTTTTAAAGCATTTTTTACATGTTTCTTGTATCTTATCTTACTTGAAATTTTTCTCTGCGGCGCGAGTTCTGGCGCACTCTGTATTTTTAAATTTCCACAAAATGCTTATGATATTAACTTATCAAAAATATAATTATCTCATCAACTTTTGAAAACAATTTTTTTTATGAAAAATCTTGTTTTTTGCAAAAAAGCTGAAAGGATTTCTTTTAATAACAAGTAAATATCAAATGACAAATTATCTTACAAAATTTTAAAAGTTCTTTTACATAACTGTTTTGTTTAATCTACAAGCAAAATAAACAATAAACATATTTTTGGTCTGCTTAATACAATAAAAGAAATAAGAGCAAAATTTTAGGGTGGATTGAAATCTGATAAAGCCATCAGAAAATAAAAGAAGTTATCTAATCGAATATTTATAATAAAAAAATGCTATTTATGTTTTATGAATGAAAAGTTTTTCTGCTATTTTTTTTATAAATGAAATTATAATTTTGTGGCTGTGGGAGAAAAGAAAATTATGGTGGATGCGCTACAATTTTTTTAAATATTTTAATTACTGGAAAAAACAGTCACCTACATTTTGAATTAAAATAATTGTAAAAACAGAAGTTGCAAAAGTTTTACGAAACATCGAAGTTTAACAAGTTGTATTTTCTTACGTTTTTATTGGCTTCCGTCCAATAATTGTCTAGATTGCAGTGATATATTGAAAAAAAGCAATATAACTAATAGTAAATTAAATTGTTGAGCTCATCTTTAAAACAATTGCTTGTAATTTATCAGTTATTGTGACAAACACTTCATCATAATACTAAAAACTTTATTAAAAATAATAAAAATACTGTTTTATTAAATTTTTGTGGGCAGATCCTTTTATATTAAATTCATAAAACTGCAATTCGCTAGTTGATTGAATTTGAGTGACAGAAAACCCGAAATAAAAAGTAATTGACATATTAATGGATTATTTTATGGTAAAAGCGTTTCTAACAAACTTGTATTGAATCCAAATTAAACTAAATTGCCAGAATGCGCTAACAAGGATTAAATTGAACATTATTTGCAGGTTTATCATAGTTGTTATCACAGTCAGAGTAGAGTAAATTCAAATATGTACTTTTTTAACCAAATTTTTGCACTTCAGTTTTCATTACTGCAATAAAACGCTAACGTAATAACGTAATGTTATTATGAAACTGTGCGAAAAATTGTATTATAACCACTTACTATTAATTTTGGTTTACGTCACAATTTTCAGCAAAACCTAACTCAATTAAAAATCACAAACTACAATAAATTAATAAAATACATTTTTACTTTCCTTATCCTATAAGGAAAGTATTGTATTTGTTCTCGAGAACGATAAGAGCTAGAAACTTGAAATTTGGTATATAAATTACGTGTAGGAAGGGGACGCAGCACAAAACATTTGGTAAAAATCGGTATAATAGGTACCGAACTAAAAAAAAATTGCAGACAAGGATGTTTTCCAAATAAGTTGGATAAGGAAAGTCGTGTGATGTTCACACTAGATTTTTTAATTTTGGTTTGTTTATTTTTCATCTTCTTTCAGTCTCGTGTTGCTAAGCTACAAGGCCACCAACCCCTCGAGTAACAAACAATCCTCACCCTCAACATTAACCTCAATATCCTCAAGTCTCCCAGGATGGTTAATGAGCAAAGTGCTGGGTCTATGCACGGGTCCAGGTCCGGGTAAAGTAACACTTGGCCCATTTCCTCCTCCTCCAACACTAACAATTAAAGGGCATCCCACCACAGGTCTCTTATTAAAAGCCACGTTCACCACGTGATCACACGCCTCCGCCGGCACGAAACTCACAGCAAACCTCGCATTGCCTTGGGGGTGCACCTGCGTGGGGATATTCAACCCTCTGGCACTAATGGTAATCTCCAAATTCCCTTCTCCTGCCTCACTGGCATCCACGGAGAAGGTCACAGGTCGACCCACACTCCCCCTGGCCACCGTCCCCACAGTGACCTTATTCGAATCAAACGCCTTCGCTATGAAGGGGGTCCCCTGTACGGGCCTTCCATTGTAATCAACGCAGATCTGGTGTGCCCCCACTTGTGTTGGGGTGAATTCGGCTGTGAACCCCGAATGGATGTCTCCGGTGACTTTGACGGGGAGCTCCCCAATGGGGCCGCGCACCGCTACGGCGAGTTCCGCCGCGCCACCCCCGGCCACCCCCATGTGGAACGAGCTGGGTTGGTTGACGGGAACCAACTCCAAGTGGGAGAGATTCAAAGTGACTCTGCTTGTGTCAGCGACTGAGCACACGAAAGGGCATCCTCGGACCGTTTCACCGTTGAATTTGATGTCGATTAAGTGGGGTTTGGCCTGTTCGGGGGTGAACGAGACAAGGCAACGGCCCCCACCTACCACTTGGACGTGGTTGGGGACTTCGCCCTCGTTTATTGAGATTTCCAACTGGCCTTCGCCGGCTTGGCTGGCGTCAACTAAAAAAAATCAACGATTAATTTGAGTTTCAGGAATTGCCTCAAAATGCAGGAAATTCTTCACTTTTCGATTGAGAAGTTTGAGGGTAATTAGAGAAAATAATGTGGAAACCATTCATTTGTTGGCAAATTAGGAAAAATCATAAGGAAACCAGACGAAGTTATCAAAAAATCAGAAGAAATGTGTAGAAATCAGAAAAAAAATCACAGAAAACCAAAAAAATTAAGAAAAAATATAAGAAACTAGAGGAAATCTTTAAAAAATCTGAGACAGTCAAAAGAAATCATCCGTTTGTTGGCAAATTAATAGAAATCTTGGGAAAATCAGAAAAAATCATAATGGCATCAAACAAATCTAAAAGAAATAATAGATAATCATTTATTTGTTGACAAATATAAAAAAAATTTGAGAAAATAAAACAAAATCAGAAGAATTAATTGGGGAATCGGAAAGAATCAGGAAAAATCAAAGAAAATCATTTATTTCTTGGTAAAAAATCTTGAGGAAATCAAAAGAATTTGGGAAAAATCAAAGAAAATCAGAGTTAATTTCTAGGTCCTAGGAGAAATCTCAGGAAATTAGAAAAGATCAGAAAGAATCTCATTAAACCAAAAAAAAAATTTAAAAAAATTACAAAAATTGGAGGAAATGACGAATAAATCAAAGGAAATCTTGAGATACTCAGAGAAAAACATGAGAGTATCAGAGGAGTTTATAAAAAATAACGAAAATCAGAAAAAATCAAGAGAAATAAAACAAATCACTAGAAAATCAGAGAAAATAAGACAAAATCAGAGGAAATTATTGGGAAGCAAAAAATAAAAAAAAAATCAAAGAAAATCATGCGTTTCTAAGCAAATTAAAAAAATCTTAAGAAAAGCAAAAAAACATCAAACATAATCAGGGGAATTTAAGAGAAATCATCCGTTTGTTGGCAAATTAATAGAAATCTCGAGAAAATCAGTAAAAATCATAAGAACATCAAAAAATCATTTATTTGTTAGCACATTTAAAAAAAAATCTTGAGAAAATCAAGAAAAAATCAGAAAAAATTAAACAAAATCAGAAGAATTCATTGGGGAATCAGAAAGAATTTGGGAAAAATCAAAGAAAATCAGAGTTAATTTCTAGACACTAGGAGAAATCTGTAGAAATTAGAAAAGATCAGAAGGAATCACAGAAAAAAAATAAAAAAATAAAAATAAAAAATTGGAGAAAATCACGAGTAAATCAAAGGAAATCTTGAGAAAGACATGAGAGAATCGGAGGAATTTAAAAGAAATTAACGAAAATTAGAAAAATCAAGAGAAATAAAAGAAATCACTAGAAAATAAGACGAAATCAGAAGAAATTATCAGGGAAGCAAAAAAATCAGAAAAAAGTAAGGGAAATTATTCGTTGTTAGCAAATTAAAAAAAAATCTTAAGAAAAGCAGAAAAACATCATAAAAAATTATGGAAATTTAAGAGAAATCATTCGTTTGTTGGCAATAATAGAAATCTCACAAAAAATCAGAAAAAGGACATAAAAGAAATTTAAGAGTAATAATAGATAATCAATGAAATCAAGGAAATTGAGAGAAAAACATTTATTTGTTGGCAAATTTAAAAAAATATTGAGAAAATTAAAAAAAAATCATAGAAAATACGACAAAATCAGAAGAATTAATTGGAGAATCAGAAAAAATCAGGAAAAATCAAAGGAAATCATTTATTTGATGGTAAATTTAAAAAATCTTGAGGAAATCAAAAGAATTTGGCAAAAATCAAAGAACATTAGCGTTAATTGTCTAGAAAGACACTAGGAGAAATCAGAGGAAATCAGAAAAGATGAAAAAAAGAAATCATAGAAAGCCAAAAAAAATAAAATAAAAATAAAAATAAAAATAAAAAACTGGAGGAAATCACGAGTAAATCAAAGGAAATATTGACATACTCAGTCAATCAAAAGAAATCAGAGAAAATAAGACGAAATCAGAGGAAATTATTAGAGAAGCAAAAGAAATCTAGAAAAAATCAGAAAAACACAATAAAAAATCAGAGGAATTTAAAAGAAATGAGAGGTAATCTGGGAAAATAAGAGGAAATTATAAAAAAACCAGAAGAAATCAAGAAATATCAAAAAAAATCATGGGAAAATCATTCATTTGATAGAAAATTAAGAAAAAACTAGAAAAAAAATCAAGAGAGATTAAAGAAATAAGATGAAATAAGAGGAATTTATTAGGGAATTAGAGAAAAATCAGTAAAAAACAAAGGGAATCGGAGGAAATCAGAAGAAAATCTATTCATTTGTTGGCAAATTTAGAAAAATCAAAAGAAATCAGAGAAAATTTTTAAAAAACCAAGAGAATTGTAGAATATCTTTGTAGTATCATCAAGTATCTAGTCTCTTTATTGTTTTTTTCATGTAAAATTTAAATTCCTTACTGCATATATTTTTGATCATATTCAGTTACCTCAATGTCTCAAAATCAGTTTTTTGATTATTGAAATTGGTTTTTAGTTCAAAAATCTTCACATCTAAAGCTTTAATAAAATTAAAAATTGATAAAAACATTTGAAATCAGCTAAAAAAGCAAATTTTAGTCCCCCCCTCCTAAAATTAAAAAAACAGCAGAATCTTGTGTGACTTCTAAAACTTAATCTAGTTTTGGCAACCCAATTTAGCAATTTCTGTTAAAATGTCTTTACTAGATCAAAAATTATAACGGTTTTTGAATTTGAATATTAATATGACCAGTTTGCGACCAAAAGTCATTATTACAAAAGAATTTGAAAAAAAACAGTCTAATTATATATTAATGAAGTGTCATTAAAGTCGACTAGCCTGATGATTATAAGGCAGTTGCATTATTTCAAATAGGTACTTCCCACAAGTACTAAACAATCCTCACTCCTAACTGTTTTCCTAGTTAAAAAATAGCTTCAAGTGGGAGAAACTGCGTATAGGGAGACTCGTCAAATCCTGTGTAATTACACGTCTGAGAATCAGGTACTACAAGAAAAATTGACTCTTGATGGAAGAGTCAAGGTTAGAAAAAGGTAGAAGAACGGAAATTACAGCTCTGCACAAAACAAAAAAGAATTTCCTGCGATAAAGAGGATATTACAAAAATGGGACAGGCCACGATTAAATGTCTTTTGCGAAAGTCCTGAGATACAAGTGTTAAACGAGTTTGCAATAAAAAAAATAAACATATGTTACAGTGACTTATTACAAACAATGCAGTATACTTTCTACCATAACAATTTCAAGGTAAACATTGATTGTAGGTTAAAAAACTTACCAAAGAAGAAGAGTACCACCCTTTTTCTCGTAAGTCTCACATAAAACTAATTTTATTTGACCAGTTTTGACTTACTTGGATGCTCGCATTAATATTAATTGTTTGCAATAAATCTCGGGACTTTCACAAAAGTACCACAATCGCCCCAACTTACCTCTAAACTGCACGGGTTGCCCCACAACCCCTCCACTGACATCGGCCACTTGTATAAGCCCAGCATCGTACACCTTGGCGATCAAGGGCCCCGAGGGCAACTTTTCCCCGTTAACAGTGACTTCAATAATGTGGGTACCGACTTCCGTGGGCACAAACTCCACACTTTGGACTCCGGTTCGACTCCCCGGAAGCACCCTCGCCGGCACCGACCTTTTGCTCGGCGCAATCACGTGCACCATGAGGTCGTCGGGTGCCACATTGGTACTTGTTATGATCTCGAAAACGGCTGAAGTGTTGGCTGGTACCAATCGCGTGGTTTCGCCCAAAACTGACAGATTTGAGTTCGACATGATGTTAACATGCCATGGACTTCCTTAAAAGCACAAAACTCCTTCATTCATGGTCCTGAACCGCACATTTCACGCACTTTGGTACCGCTTTAAAAGTCGCACGGCGAGTATGGTTACGCGGCTGGTACTGGTACCACTCTTGCGACGAGTCGTGGGTACCACAATCAGTGGGCGGGGTGAGAGGCGGCCACATTCCTACGCTAACTGCAGGTAAACTCGCGATGCAGTGGCGTGCGTCATTTTCAAAAATTGTACCGCATAAGAAAAATTTTTTTTCCTCAAATTGGTTTCATTGAGGTCGATTTTGAGGTCAATTAACTAGATTTAACAATTAATGTGACGCCAATGGCGTTCCAGTTGGAAATTTTTCATATTTAAGTTTCCTGGACGTAAACAAACGCTCCATTGGCGATATTCAGAAATAAATAAAGACCAAGTGGGCCATTGAACCTAGGCGTACCTGCGCAGGTACCTACTGACAGTGTTGCCAGATCTAAAAGATAAAATTCACCAGATCCGAGTCGAAAAATTTGCCTAAATAGCGAAATAATTGTTTTTCTTGCTGAAAAACGTACTAAAACGCTCGAAAAATGCCAATATAAAGTAATTCGAGACTTAATTTCTTCATTATTTAGTTTGTTTTAGCGAAATTTTGCGAAAAACCTGAAATTTTATCACAAAAACCTGCATGTTCGGTCAAATTTTCTGGATTCTCGTCTTATTTTTGTCTTATTTTGCTCAAAAACAGTTAAATCAAGTGAAACAAACAAAATCACATCAATATCAATACTTTTTGTGATTTTTATGTGTATTTGCCTAAATCCGAGTCAAAAAATTTGCCTAATTTTTCAAAAACACAGTTTTTGGACTTTAAAAAAAAAAGCAAAAATGACATGCTTTTCGGTTTAATTCTGCAATTTTTCGGCTTGTTTTCCACAAAAAAATTGCGAAATAATTGCGTTTCTAAAGAAACTTGATTATTTAGTTTGTTTTAGCAAAATCTAGTAAAAAAAACTGACATTTTAGTACAAAAACGTGCTTAAAAGCATTTTTGGCCAAAATTTTATGGTTTCTGGGCTTATTTTTGTCTTATTTTGCTCAAAAACCAGTTAAATCGAGTGAAACAAAAACAATAATATAAATTTCAATCCTTTTTGTGATTTTGGTGTTTGGATAAGATTTTGCAAAATAAAGGAACTTCTGGTTCAGAAACGAAGTAAATCGGGCAAAACAAGCTAAAAAATGAGATCAATTTCGATTTAATTTTGTAATTTTTTAGCCTGTTTCAATGTAATATTTTGAACTCTTTGTGTTTTTTATCTCTCAAAAACATCCTTAAACACTCGAAAAAGACAAAAAAACGCAGTTTTTGGGCTATTTTATTAAATTTGTGGCTTGTTTTTCACAAAAAAAAACAAAAAAAATCATTTTTGACTCTGTTTAGTAATATTTTGTAAAAAAAACAATTAGAACAATTTTTTACCAACTTAGTGGTTTTTGATTATTTTTTTCTTCGAGAAAATTTAACGAAATAATCAAGTTAAAGCCTAATAAACAAACAAAATAACATCAATATCAATTGTTTTTGTGATTTTTGGCGTGTTTGGACAAAATTTTGCAAAATAAATGAGTCTCTGGTTCATAAATAATATCAATTTCCATTTAATTTTGTAATTTGTTTGCCTGCTCCAACAAAATTTTAGAATTTTCTTGTTTTTTTTCTCAAAAACGTGCTTAAACACTTGAAAAAGGGAAACACAAACACGCCGTTTTTGGTGGGATTTGTTAAATTTTTTGATAGTTTTTAACGAAATGTTGCGAAATAATTGTGTTTCTAGCTAAACACATACTGGAAAATGACAAAAACAAATTATCATTTTTGATCCAGTTTAGCAAAATTTTGTAAAAAAAAAACAAACAGAACTATTATTAACTAATTTAGTGCTTTTTCGATTTTTTTTGAAAAAAATTGACAAAATAATCAAGTTTCTAGTTGAAAACGTAGTAAATGCTAAAAAAACAGTTTTTACATCCAAAAAAATCACCAGATATTAGAATTTTTACAACTTTTTAGCCTGTTTCAATGCAATATTTCGAACTCTTTGTGTTTTTATCTCACAAAAACATCTTTAAACACTGGAGAAAGACAAAAAACGCCGTTTTTTGGACTATTTTGTTAAATTTGTGGCTTGTTTTGGACAAAATTTTCCAAAATAATTGTAATTCTAGCTGAAAAAGCATTCGAAAAAAGTAAAAATTGGTTATTATTTTCGACTCTGTTTAGTAACTCTTTTTCACCAATTTGGTGGTTTTCGATTAATTTTTCTTCGAGAAAATTTGACGAAATAATCAATTTAAAGCCTAAGAAACACACAAAATAACATCAATATCAATTGTTTTTGTGATTTTTATGCTTGTTTGAAAAAGATTTTGCAAAATAAATAAGTTTCTGGTTCATAAATAATATCAATTTCGATTTGATTTTGTAATTTTTTGCCTGCTTCAAGGAAATTTTTTAAATTCTCTTTGTTTTTATCTCAAAAACGTGCTTAAACACTTGAAAAGGGCAAAAATAACGCCATTTTTGGTCGAATTTGTTGAATTTTTGGATTGCTTTTAACGAAATTTTGGAAAATAATAAAAAATTATTTAAAAATGACAAAAATAAATTTTTATTTTTGATTCTGTCTAGTAAAATCTTGTAAAGAAACAAACAGAACTGTTTTTAAATAATTTAGTGTTTTTTCGATTTGTTAGAAAAAATTGACGAAACAATCAAGTTTCTGGTTGAAAACGTAAAAAATGCTCGAAAAAAATCACCAAATATTAGAATTTTTACAAAAATGTTCGCCAAATCACCAGACTAACATAAGAATCCTCAGATCTGGTGAAATTCCACCACACGTGGCAACACTGCCTACTGACTAAGATGAAAGCGCAAAAAGGAGAAATAACCGACTGGTGGCATTTAATTTTAGTCACGTTGTTGCTGATTCGCAAAATGCTAATTTATTCACACGATTTGCTAAAACCGTGGAGAAAAAAATCTTTTCCGGATTTTTGGACCAGGGTCGTGCTTAATATCGATAGAATCTGGGGTCATCGGTGAAATTCTCTACATTGTTTCTGAGATTCTGTGTAACCAGTTAACTTATTACTAGGTCATAGAAATGTGCAGATGCTTATATAATATGCTCGCTCTTAGAACAACACATGAGAAATAAGTTTATTGAATTGCAATCATGCTCAAATAAACGTGGAATAATTACTCCACTGGACTTGTTTTCCTTGTTTGTGCATTTTAAACGCGTTCAAATGCGAATACTCGGGCGCAGAATGCTGATTGCGAACCAAAATGGTTCAAATTATAGGACATTCACATCGCTGAATCACGCAAAAAACAGATCTAGGTTTAAATATTTTGCAACTCTTTTCACTTTCCTCAAATCCATCGCATTGAGAAAAACATACTATTAATTATTTTATTACAATCAAGTTGCAAAAAACAAGACTTGTTTTGTAAAAATAATTGATTTCAGACATAAAAATGTCAGAAAATAAATCAACCGAGCTATAATTCAGAAAATATTACTGGAAAAATTACTTTTTATAAAAAAAGGTAAAAAATCTTGTTGAATCAATTTCTTATATTACTGCTATTAAGTCTTTAATTTTAGTATTTTTTGTCACTTGAAAATAATCCTTTATAAATGTACAAAACAGACAAAAAAAAATCGGCATAAATGCTTTTACCACTCAAAATTAAAAATTCCAAGATCATAAAAAAATTTCTTAACATTTTAATTTTCATAATATAATTCAATTAATTTTATCAGGGACATTAAATACGCAGGAACTAGGCTAACATTGTTAAAACAGTGGCTACTTTGTTACTCTTAAATAAAGAAATTCATTTAAAACCTGAACAGGATATGTTACAATGTGCTCGTTAAAATACTTTTTACGGAACACACTGCATATATTTTGTTGTTAATTAAATTAGTTTAAATTCAGACTACACATTATTAAAAAACGGGACAGGTAGACGAATATTGCGTTTTTAACAAGAGAAAATGATAAAAAAAATTAATTACGACTTTTTTAACATTCTTATTTACGACCTTAACAGAAAGTAAGTTTTTCCACCCTAATTTCAGGAAGGAAAGTGGCCTTCCCTCCCTTGTACTACAATAACTATTATCAGTGTCGTTTTCACGCCTAGCATTTTTCGTGATTTTATTTATCTTTTTTTCACTAAAAGTGTTATTTTTGAGACTTCTATTAAATTTATTTTTTTAATTTCGATTATTGGATTTAGCTCAATTTTATTATTTTTACATTTTCTTTTTTAAACTTTTTTCCAGAAATAAATAGTTTAAAGAATTTGATATGACCTGAAACCACTGTAGTATAGAAGATTCCATTTATCTCATTTTATGGATGGCTAGTGCAATTATTAAGAAAAAAAAAGCTTTAATTCAATATGATTTATGTTTCACGGATAAGTTGTTATACTGATAAATATCTCCTCATTTAACATGGAACTACCCATAATGGAGATTAACTCTGGAATTAGTTGTACAATTTTTTGGAATTTAATCGAAATTGCTTGGAATTATTGAAATTAATTTTGTATTATTTAGAATTACTAGAAGTGGAATTAATTAGAAATGACTGGAATTATTTGTAAATTACTGAAATTCTTTTTGGAATTACCTACTGGATTTTTTTTTAATTAAGTAAAATTTCTGAGAACTATAAATTTGCAATTACAGAAATTATTCTGTAATTACCGGAATTTTTTATTTTTATTTTTAATATTACGTTGAATTTCCTAGATAAAATTTTTTGTAATAGATGAATTATTGGAAATATCTTGAAATTACGAAAATTAAGTTAGAATTACTGAAATTTCGGTAGAATTTTTTTGGAATTACTGAAATATAGATAGAGTTTTTTTAAACTGGAATTAATTGTACACATTTAAAACAATGTGTTATAATTTTATTGTTCGGTTAGTTGCGTTACTATTCGGAAAAAAGCAACAATTAATGATTTATTTATAGTGATAATGAGGATTCTCCAAAGGGTTGTTAATTCTGAAATTAATTCCACAAATTTTTGGAATTTAATCGAAATTGTTTGGAATTATTAAAATTATTTTGAATTATTTGGTATTACTAGAATTAGGTGTAAATTACTGGAATTTATTAGAAATTACTGGAATTATTTTGTAAATTACTGGAATTATTTTTGGAATTACTTCAACTCTTTTTGTAATTACCTACTGGAATTCTTTTTTTTAATTTCTTACACCTATTGGAATTACAGAAATTATTTAGCAATTTTTCTAAAACTACTGAAATTCTTATAAGATTTTTTTGAAATTATCGGAGATAATTTTTTTTATATTACGTTGAATTTTTTGTAAATGACTGGAATTCTTTTTAGAATTACTGGAACTCGGTTTGTAATTACCTACAGGAATTCTTTTTTTTTAATTTTTTTTAACTATCGAAATTACAGCAGCTATTTTGTAATTATCGGATTTTTTTTGTAACAACTGAAATTCTTTTTAGACTTTTTGAAATTATCGGAGATAATTTCTTTTTTATATTACGTTAAATTTCTTAGAAATTTTTGTAATAAACGAATTATCGGAAATAATATTTTGGAATTATAGGAAAATTTAGTTGGTATTACTGAAATTTTAGTAGAATTTTTTTGAAATTACTGAAATATCGATAGAATTTTTTTTAATTGGAATTAGTTGTACACATTTAAAAAAATGTGTTATAATTTTATTGTTTGGTTAGTTGCGTTACTATTTGGAAAAAAGCAACAATTAATGATTTATTTATAGTGATAATGGAGATTCTCCTAAAGGTTGTTAATTCTGAAATTAATTGCACAAATTTTTGAAATTTAATCTAAATTGTTTGGAATTATTAAAATTATTTTGAATTATATGGAATTACTAGAATTAGGTGTAAATTACTGGAATTATTTTGTAAATTACTGGAACTCTTTTTGTAATTACCTACTAGAATTCTTTTTTTTTTTAATTTCTTACACCTATTGGAATTACAAAAATTATTTTGTAATCACCGTAATTTTTCTGGAACTACTGAAATTCTTTTTAGATTTTTTGGAATTATTGAAGATAATTTCTTTTTTTATATCACGTTGAATTTCTTATAAATTTTGGTAATAGACGAATTATTGAAAATAATATTTTCGAATTGGGAAAATTAAGTTGAAAATAGGGAAAATAAGTTAGAATTACTGAAATTTCGGTGGAATTTTTTTTTAATTACTAATTGGAATTAGTCGTACACATTTTTTTAATGTTGGGTTAGTTGCGTTACTATTTAGAAAAAACAACAATTAATGATTTATTCGCAATGATAATCCATGTCAAATGTAATAAAAGTTTCAAAAGCATCTTTATTCTCCCTTTTTTTCCATTGTAAAACTTTCAAAACAAAACTTCAAAGTTCAGATTTTCTAAGACAGTTTTATTTTAAATAAAATAACAGAAATCCAATGATAAATTTGGACAAAAGTGATTTAAAAAATGTCGTAAAAAGAGTAAGCTAGAGCAAAATTTAAAAAAAAACAGACTTACAAAATGATAAAATTAAACCTAGTCAATCTATTAATTACGGTACGTTTATTTAGGATTTATGAGCATCTTTATGTTATCAAACACATATATGGACATAATAACTCGATTTACCACATCACTAGAAACATAAATCAATCTTCAATTTCAAAAAAAAAATCCTCCACTGCACATTTGAACCCAAAACAATTCTAAATCCACCAACCCTGGTCCAATTTGTAACAAAATCAAAAAAGGTCACTTACCTGGCACCGTTTCACCATTAAACTTGATATCCACTCTATGTGGCAAGGCTTGATGTGGCGTAAACGCAGCCTTAAACCTTTGCCCTCCCAAACTCCTCACACTCGACGTAACTCGACCACCCTCCACCAAAATCTCCAAATCCCCCGACCCAGCCCCACTCCCATCAACTGCAATTGCAAAATTATAATAAATTATGACTAAATTGTGCCCAAATACTTTCAAACTCCACGGGTTGTCCCAACACACCATCTGGGACCGGTTGGACTCTAACAGCAGAAGCCCCCCCATTTCTGACCCTCGAGGGGGAACTCCTCCCATAGATATCAATATTGTATTGTTCCTGTGAGAACATTTTATTGTGTTCTTCGACTTTTCGTCTCCGGTCTGCGTCCAATTGCGAGTCGGTGAAGTTGGCCACTGATTCGAGACTCCTCTCCGAGAGGATGTTCCTGGTTTTGGCGATGGCATCCCAGGAGTCTCTCCTCGCAGAGGATTGGTCCGCGAATGTTGACACTTTGACTATGGGACTTGTGTCAATCCCGTCATTGAAACGGCCTCGGGGATTGGGACTAGAGCGTTCGAGAAAATTGGGACTCCTGGAGTCGGAGATTCGCATGGAGGCCATCTTCGAGGTGTAACTCGAGTCGTTGAGTCTCCGACTCGTGATGTAATCAGGACTTTGGGTCCTGGTGAGGTAACTCGGACTCGGGGAATTCCGCTTCTCCACCGACATTTTATGGTACTCTTGTGCGTATTTGTGGGTTTCACTTGAAACAGGACTGGCACTTTGGCGGTAGTTTTTCGGACTAGAATTTGAGTATCGACTATAGGTGGAGTTGGGGCTTGGACTGCTCGAGGATTTGGCGCGTTTTTGCGTCCCGACGCGCATCATAAATGGGGAGCCTTTGACGTCGTAGCCGTTGAAGTAGATGTAGACTCGGTGCTTCCCCACGTCTTTGGGGGTGAAGTGGATGCGGTAGAGGAGTTTCGAGTTGACTTTTTCGACGCGACAGTGGACTGAGCGCTTGTCGTGGACGATGTCGGCGTACACCTCGCCGGGGACTCCCACAGCGCGGCAGTCCAAGTCGATGCTGTGGGGGACCAGGGGGAGGGCGCCTTCGAGGCCGGAGACTTGGACGCCGTTCGGGTCGAAGACTGAGCATGTGAAAGGGCCGCCCTGGAATTAAGCCGAGTGGCATACACTATTTTTTTAGACAAGTTTGACCTTGGTTTTCTTTATTTGCAAAACTCATTAATCACGGAGTCAAATGAAGGGGTGAGTGGATAAAGGTGTTATATGAAAACTGGTATTTTCTTTTAAAACTATTTTTTTCGCAATATCTTTTATTGAAAAAGACTTTTAGGTGTTGGTTTCTTGGAATGAAATTAGCAAATGTAAAGGCGTTATGGACAACTTGGATTGTTAATTCAATTACTTTTCGACCTATTCTTGACAAAATTTTGCGAAATAATTGTGTTTTTTATTGAAAAATGTTTTAAAACGCTCGAAAAGAGCATAAATGTCGGTTTTTATTTAGTCTAGTATGTATTAATTTTGGTATGTTTTTTAGCAAAAATTAAAGAAAAAACTTTGTTTTAGACTTAAAAACGCAACTAAATGTTTGAAAAAAGCATAAATAACATTATTTTCGAATTCATTATGTGATTTTTCGGCTTATTTTTGACGAAGTTTGGTGCTTTTAATTAAACAATCTGCTAAAACGTTTGGAAAAGCAACCAGATGATTTTTCTTTCGGCTTAAAAAAATACTTAAACTCTCCAAAGAAGCAAAAATAATTTTAGTTTCATGATAGTATGTTCATTTTTTACGTCATTTTCAACGAAAATTTTCAAAACAATTGCGATTCTGACTAAAAAACGTCCTAAAACGGAAACATGGTATTATTTTTTAACAAAATTTTAGCACAATCTAAAAAAGTGAAAATAACAGCGTTTTAATTTTGTAAATTTTTAGTTGAAAAACGTGCTAAAACGCCCAAAAAATCATAAAAAAGGTCATTTTCAACCCAATTGGGTAATTTTTCAATATGTTTTAACAAAATCTTACAAAGAAACGTGATGTAAATAAGCAAAATTCATTATTTTTTACTTAATTTGGTGAATTGGGTATATTTTTGTCTAAATGTTTCGAGATAATTCCGTCTTTTATTGAAAAGTATGGTGTTAATATGGAAAACAGTTTTCGATAAGTCGATGAACTAGCTTCAAAATTACACTTAGTAAACAAAAAAAAATCGATTAAATGAGAATGTTAATTTTCGGGACAGTATAAAGTGGACTTTTTTATATTGTGTCGTTAGAATTTCTTTTATAAATGTTTTGTTAAACTTGAAATATTTTTATAAAGCAATAATTATCTTAAAGTTTATATTAGAAAATAAAGCTTGTTTTTTGGTACATAACACTTTTATCAATTTTTTAATAATATAAACTAATGCATTATAGTAGATGAAGGGGTACCATGGTGTTTTCGATTATTTTTTCTTCAAGAAAATTTGACGAAATAATCAATTTAAAGCCTAAGAAACAGGCAAAGTAACATCAATATCAATTGTTTTTGTGATTTTTATGCTTGTTTGAAGAAGATTTTGCAAAATAAATGAGTCTCTGGTTCATAAATAATATCAATTTTGATTTGATTTTGTAATTTTTTTGCCTGCTTCAACGAAATTTTTAATTTTTTTGTGGTTGTTATCTCAAAAAAGTCCTTAAACACTTGAAAAGAGCAAAAACAACGCCATTTTAGTCGAATTTGTTGAATTTTTGGATTGTTTTTAATGAAATTTTGGAAAATAATAAAAAAGCATTTGAAAATAACAGAAATAAATTGTCATTTTTGATCCTGCCTAGTAAAATCTTGTAAAAAAATAAAGAAAACTATTATTTAGAAAGTGCTAAAAAACGGTTTTTTTCATTTCGAAAAAATCACCAGATATTCGAATTTTTACAAAAGTTAGCACCAAGTCACGAAAATCACCAGATTTGGTGAAATTTCACCATACCTGGCAACACCGTACCTGTATTTGCTTCCCTTGATACGTGATTTCAATCCTCCACTCCCCTGCTTCATCCGGTTTGAAGGTCGCACTATTGGTACCATCGATGGTAGTCAAAGGACAATTCAAAGGCCTCCCCGTGGGACTATACGCCGTCACAAGAATATCCTCCCGTCGTGGCGCCCCTAAACCCCTCAATCAAATCAAAAAGTACCCAAAACCACACAAACCTGTCGCATTGACCAGTACTTGAACCAACGACCCCAAGGCACACGGCGCCATCCCCGGCGGCGCAACTTCCACAAGTTGAGGCAAAACTCGGAAATAATGCCCCGCGACGACTTCCTGTTCTTCGTACTTGACGACAATTTCATGCATACCAACCTTCTGGGGCACAAAAACTCCTCGTCCCTGCTTCAGGTGCTTCACTGAATAGAGTTTGTTATCAGGGCCGCGGACCTCCACCGAAATATGGGAATACGACAGCGAGGAGTCGAGCAAATTGACTTGGAAGTGCGTCTGGAAGCGGTAAAACACTATTAAAACTGGTTCAATTAAACAACTTTCTTAATTAATTTAAAAGTGTGTCAACGGTGTTGCGTAACAGCAACAGGAATTAATTTAACAACAAATAAAAATAAGTTTCATTGTCAAATGTTAGTTATGATGACAGTAAAAGGTAGTTTACAGTGAACTTTTTAAAGTGACAGAAAAATAGGTACTGCTCGAATTTTTAATTCCGCAACTGTACGTATGTCTGTTTTTGAACTAACTGCACGTGAAACGTCAAATAAAATGAAGTCTAAAACGGCAAAATGGACTGAAATTAGACGTATTATATTAAGACTGTTTTTTTTAAGGTAAATCATAAATTTAGTTATCTTTTTGATCATGGGATTTTACCTTTCCACTTGTCATTTTATTTGACGTTTCACAGACATACGCATAGGACATACGTTTTCGGATACAAGGACAAATTATCTTGATCTCTCGATACTTACTTAGTTTTTACTAATTTAAAAAGAAATCATCAATTGTAATTTTCTTTGGGCCACATCTTAGGTATCTAATTAAATTAAGTTTATATCTGTTTCAATAATGAACTTTATCAACTCGCTAGAACACCTTATACACAATTGGACACCCCTAATTTTTTTAGATTTTTTAATTATCGAAATGGCAACACCAAAATATTATGTATTACCAACATAAAATTCTCAAAAAAAATATCCAAAAAGTAAAATAATATCAATAAAAAACAAAGATAGAATTTTAAATCAAGTTAAAAATTTTGTATTTTTTAAAAAAAAAATTGACCTGTTCGAGCATTTTTCCAAAACAAAATATTTTCAGTTTTAATAGATAAGATTATTCCGAAATTTTGCCGCATTTTGGAATAATATAATAATTATAGATTTTAAAATTATTTACAAAAATGGTCTTTATACTTTTTTTCTAAGAATCAACATTCCTGAGATATCGCGATTCTAAAAGTTGAAGGAGTCACATTAGATACACATACAGAGTGCGCCAGAACTCGCGCCCGAAAGACGTCAAATGCCATGTAGGGTAACGAACCAGGAACATAGAAAAAATTAAAAAAGAATTCTATCAATAAAAATTTCAAAGTTATGAGAGTTTAAATTTTGCACTTTGACTCTATTTATTTCTGTAGGATAACTAATTTTTCAAGTTTTTTTGCTACAGGCTATTAAAAGAGAAAACAAGGAAGCTGTATTCTAAATTATAACTCTGTTTAATGTTATTTGTGGCTTTTATTGGCAAAAATTTTGTACCTTTACTAAATAATTGTGAAAAAACATATACAAAATCATCATATTATTAAATAGACATAAAAAATGTGAAATGTCAAAAAATAAATGTCAAAATTTTTTGACAGATAGAATTTTTTAAACATTTTTTTCATGTTCCTGGTATCTTAACTTCCTTTAAATTTTTCTTCTACTTCATTAAACTTATAAATACCTCGATTCCATTAATTAAAAAGAATTTATTTGGTAATACATACAGGGTGTTCAAAAAATCGCGCATTTTTTTGAAAGGGGGTAATTGGGTAGTCCCCAGAGTACTGAAAAAATGTTTAAAAAATTCTATCTGTCAAAAAATTTTGACATTTATTTTTTGACATTTGACATTTTTATGTCTATTTGATAATACTGATGCCGTTGTATATGTTTTTTATAATTATTTAATAAATGTACAATCACTTTACCAATAAAAGCCACAAATAACATTGAACATAGTTATAATTTAGAATACAGCTTCCTTGTTTCCTCTTTTACTAGGCTATAGCAAAAAAACTTGAAAAATTATTTTTCCAACAGAAATAAATAGAGTCAAAGTGCAAACTTTAAAGCCTCATAACTTCGAAAATTTTATAGATAAAATTTTTGTAATATTTTTTCCATGTTCCTGGTATCTTACCTTTTTTTTTCTCCGGGGCGCGAGTTTTGGCGCACCCTGTATGTATGATTTGTATTAATAAGTGTGATTTAAAACGAATTCTAAGTTTTTATTATAATTTAGAATACAGCTTCCTTGTTTCCTCTTTTAATAGGCTATAGCAAAAAAACTTGAAAAATTATTTTTCCAASAGAAATAAATAGAGTCAAAGTGCAAAKTTRAAASRCTCATAACTTCGAAAWTTTTATAGATAAAATTTTTGTAARATTTTTTCCATGTTCCTGGTATCTTACCTTTTTTTTTCTCCGGGGCGCGAGTTTTGGCGCACCCTGTATGTATGATTTGTATTAATAAGTGTGATTTAAAACGAATTCAAAGTTTTTATTTAAAAAAACTTTAGGTCATAAGGTTTTTATATCAAAATTTAAATATTTGTTACTTACAGGCTCGCCAACCCTTCCCGAGGTGGAGTTGAGAGTGACGGCGATGAGGTCGTGCAAAGGGGGCCGTTCGGGGACCCACTGGAAGTGCGCCGCGTAGGCCATCACACCCAAATGCTCCACGTGTGCGTCGGCCATGTCCTTGGCTGATAGTATTGGTTGCACACCTGAGTCATAACAATTAAAATATGTTGTTGGAAATGTTGGAAAGGTACTACCGAGGCGTTTGCCGGCTTCGAGGGCTTGGTGGAGGTTGGATTCCCAATATTGGGACTCGGTGCGGAGCTTCTCGGGGGCTGGGGCTGAGCCACCCAACGAACGGATCACTTCGCTTATTACTCTGCCATCGTTCCAGTCGCTCTACAGGAAATTCGAATTAAAAGGATGTAAGTTTGTATGTAAATTGCATATTTAAGGTTGTGTTGCCGACTAAGGAATACCGAATGAAGAAAACATCTTCCCTTGGTTTGTTTTCTTCAAGTACCACAAAATTTTGAACTCTTTTTTTAGTAATTTCAGAAAACAAGTCATATTTTTATGATTTTTATTATTTCAATTTAGTTTTGTAATTTTTTTCTCTTTCAATGCAATATTTCGAGCTTTTTGTGTTTTTATTTCTCAAAAACATCTTTAAACACTCGAAAAAGACAAAAACGCCGTTTTTGGGCTATTCTGTTGAATTTGTGGCTTGTTTTTGACAAAATTTTGCAAAATAATTGTGTTTCTAGCTGAAAAAGCATTCGAAAAAAACAAAAATTATCATTTTTGACTCTGTTTAGTAACATTTTGTAAAAAAAACAAGTAGAACAATTTTTTACCAATTTGGTGGTTTTTGATTATTTTTTTCTTCGAGAAAATTTGACGAAATAATCAAGTTAAAGCGTAAAGAAACAAACAAAATAACATCAATATCAATTGTTCTTGTGATTTTTAGGCGTGTTTGGAGAGATTTTGCAAAATAAATGAGTCATAAATAATATCAATTTCGATTTAATTTTGTAATTTGTTTGCCTGCTCCAAAAATTTTCTTTAATTTTCTGTTTTTTTTTTCTCAAAAACTTGCTTAAACACTTGAAAAGAGAAAAAACAATGCCGTTTTTGTGGGATTCCTTAAATTTTTGGATTGTTTTTAACGAAATGTTGCAAAGTAATTGTGATTTTTCAATCCTGTTTAGCAAAATCTTGTAAAAAAACAAATAGAACTATTATTAACGAATTTAGTGCTTTTTCAATTTTTTTGTTTCTAGTTTCTAGTTGAAAACGTAGTAAATGCTAAAAAAAACAGTTTTTACATGCAAAAAAAATACTAGATATTAGAATTTTTACAATTTTTTAGCCTGTTTCAATGCAATATTTCGAACTCTTTGTGTTTTTATCTCACAAAAATATCTTTAAACATTGGAGAAAGACAAAAACGCCGTTTTTAGACCATTTTGTTGAATTTGTGGCTTGTTTTTGACAAAATTTTGCAAAATAATTGTATTTCTAGCTGAAAAAGCATTCGAAAAAAAATAAAAATTAGTTATTATTTTCGACTCTATTAATAACTCTTTTTAATCAACTTTGTGGTTTTCGATTATTTTTTCTTCGAGAAAATTTGACAAAATAATCAATTTAAAGCCCAAGAAACAGACAAAATAACATCAATATAAATTGTTTTTGTGATTTGTATGCTTGTTTGACGAAGATTTTGCAAAATAAATGAGTCTCTAGTTCATAAATAATATCAATTTCGATTTGATTTTGTAATTTTTTTTCCTGCTTTAACGAAATTTTTAAAATTTTCTTTGCTTTTATCTCAAAAACGTGCTTAAACACTTGAAAAGTTCAAAAATAACGCCGTTTTTGGTCGAATTTGTTGAATTTTTGGATTGTTTTTAAGGAAATTTTGGGGCTGAGCCACCCAACGAACCCTGTCATTGTTCGCTCGACAGGAAATTTTTTTATTTGTTTTCAAAAAATAATAATTAAAAAACATGAAGGTGCCATAAAAAAACTGTCTTTTGAGAATAAAATTTTATTTTCTTTTGAGCTGACCGATTTATTTATTTCAAGATAGCAACTTCAATAAAAAAAAATATGAAAAGGTTTTATAGTGTGTTGCAATTTAAAAAATAAAATAAAAATTTTTAAAAAACTCAAACTAAAAAAAATTTTATTATAAAAAACGGTCACATTTTATTCATATTTAAAAATGTACTACAACTTTTTTTCTTAAAGTTATTAGTTTATGCAAACAACGCTTGGTTTCATACTTTTACATATTTTAATTTTGGAAAACACAAAAAAAATGGTGTATACAACAAAAAAATGTAGTATTTCAAGATTTACAGTAATATAAAAACAACGTTTAGATTGTGATGATAGAAAATCTTCCAGCAAGCCCATTGTTAAAATATTGGATTATTCAAACACATTTTTAATAGACTTTTAAGTAGATTTTATCTTTGATCGCAATATTTACTAAGGACATTCTCATCCCAAATCAAAAAAAAATACAACAAAAAATTCAAGGCTTGACATACAAAACAAGTCTTGATTTTAAAAGTTTTCCTGAAAGAAACCAAACCACGAAAACATTTTGGTTTTTGCAAAAAATTAAGTGCTTACTGAAAGTTTCTTGGATTTTCATGTTAAGTAAAAACACGAAAACTAAAAGAAATTTCAAAAATTTTATTCTTAAAAACGGTCACATTTTGTCCATACTTGACAATGTACTATAAGTACAAAAACTGTCTAAAACAACAACTTGTAATTACAAAGCAAATAATGAAAAAAAGAAAGCTCTTTTTCTTTTAATTGTGATATCGAAACTCTTCCAACCAAGCCCATTAAATATTAAATATCGAACACATTTTTAACTAAATTTTTTCTTTGATTGCAATATTTTCTAAGCCCAAATCAAAAAAAAAAAAAATTAAAATTCGAGGCTTGACACAGAAAACAAGTTTTCTTGAAATAAACCAAAGTTGTTGATTTTCAAGAAAATGAAGATATTTTCTTCATATCTTACTGTGAAGTTGTTGACTGGCCTCTCCAGTCGCGAGTTGACCCACCGCAAAGTGGCATAAAACCCCGGAGACCCCGGCTTCATGAAATACGACAAATACGTCATCCCGGATAATTCATCCAACCATGGAGATGCTAAATATTCCGGTTCAAGAACGGCAGGGATGCCCAAATCTCGCTGGGCTATATCCATGGCACGGCGACAGTTTTCAATATTATTGTGTTTATCTAGAGAGAAAAGAGATTTGCTTCATATTCAATACGAGATAAGCAAACTCTCCATACCCAACTTTCTCCAATGTGGGAACAATCCGGGTTGGCAATAGTCCACCAAAGCCGATAGCAAAATTCCGGAATTCCAGTCTGTGGTGAGGTTGTTTACTCGGCATTCCGGGAGCACAGCCTGGAGCCAAGCCAACATTAGTTTTCGAGGGGGGAATTTGGATCGGCCGATTTGGTAGCGGACGATTAGAGACCAAATTAGGCCCAGGATTAGCTTGAGGTTGCCGTTGACGATGTCGAGGTTACCTTAAACAGAAAATTTATGATTTTAACCCAAAAAAGGGAAAAAATAATCTGGGTTGACCCAAAAATGTCGAATTTAATTCCTAAAGTCGGATTAGATTACAGTTTTATTATTTTTGCCCCTTTAAGGTGAGACACATGTTTTATTTTTACATTATTTTTCTCTTTAAATGCAAAACAGGTTGAGCAATGTTAGAAAAAAATCGTTTAATTTTTATACAGGGTCGCCAAAAATTATGGACACAGCTAAATATTTTCGAAATTTGGAAAACAATTATAAGTGTTCAAATTCTACCATCTGAAATCTTTTTTAATTTTCTACCATCATTTATTTTATTTTATGGCACGTAGGGTTTAATTTAATTATTTTTAAAAAAGCATTTTTTTCTAACTTTGGTTATGTAACATATGCCCACCTTTATTTTTATTAAAAGGTAAAAAAAATAAAAATTCAAAAATGTAATTCGGAAAAAGTAAAACTAAGTCAGCTTTGAAAATGCTATTATTAGCGATCTGCCACTTGCATAATAGTTTAAAATTAAACTTGTGTGCAATAATTAGTTTAACATTTAAGTGAAAATGAGCTTATAGTCAATGGAAATCATTTCAAACATCGTTTGTAGCATAAAAATTATGTATTTCGAGTTTAAGCTTTTTTAATCAAAATGTGTTCTTTTTCAATTAAAATAAGTGTTATTTTAACAATTATTTTTAACTTTTACTTATTCTTTGGTCAAAGTTTAGTCGGCAAAGAGCTAACGATAGATAAAGACAACAATACCAAAGCTAACAAAATTTTACATTTTTAAAAATTTTATTTTTATTTATTCGATATATTTTTTTTAAGTTTTGATTAAAATAAGGTATCACGGAACTCAGAAATATTAAATTTAACTGTTCTTGCCATTCAAAAAAAATCAAGTTAGCTTTGTATTTCCAGAGCAAATAGAGATAGAAATTTGATAAACATCTGAAACGATGGAATTTAATTACTTTTAAGCATATACCAAATTTCAATAAGTTTTGATGAACAGTTTAATAATATTTAATTTTATTTTATCCATACTTTTTAGCGACCCTGTATAATAATTTATGTACAAATAATTGATAAAATATGAGTATAACGTTTAATTTATGTTTCGCAAGGATGTCAAATACATACATAAGCATGATTTTATAAAAATGTTAAATGTTTAAAGTGCCATTTGTAAATTGTAGGCCATTAACATTTACCATATTTAGCTAAAGAGTAAATTTTTATAACCCTTTTTAGCATATTATTGACTGAAATAATTTGCTTTGATTGAAATTTTTTTTCTCCGTAAACCTCACAAAAGTGACCATTTTTTTACTTTTGCGCCTAAACGTTTTTACTTTTGCTATGAATTACTAATGTTGTTTTTTTCTTGTCTCTTTCACGCAATTTTTGGAAAGGTACTTTGTAGGACATCATAATTCGACATTTTGCACTACTAACTGCACTAGTTAAATTAATAAACACTCAAAAATCTCAACACAAATTTCGATTCTGACTTGTGATATTTGTTTATAAGTGATGGTATGATTTTACTAAGCGTCCTGATAATTTTGTTCATTTACTTGCTAATTAAGTGTTGCTCTTTACTCTCGATTTGGATACGTTTGCCGATAAAATAGTGTATGTTATTTGGAGTAAAAGTGTTGTTTAATAATCACATTCAGTATAAGATTTTTATAGACCAAATTTCAAGCTTCGTTCACTTTAAAAGCAGGTAGGTAGACACGAATTACTAAATATTATTGTGAATTAGGTTTCACTGATTTATTTTATTTTATGTAGTTTTTATGTAGCTTAAATGTGTAGTAAGTTAATCAGTAAAACAGAATACGATATTGTGTATTAACAAAATAATTACACACTCAAACCCTTTGGAATTTATTGTGTGAAAGTTAACAAAAGGAATTTTAAGCAAAATTATGTTATATAAATAAATTGTATGTCTGATTCTAAGCGATCAAAAAGATTTTTTTCAAGAAAAACTAAATCTTTTTTACTTATTTATTCAGTTTCACGTTATTTTTTTAATTACAACGGAACATAATCGCAGAATTAATAAATGTCGAATAACTTGCTTCCTTCTTTATTTTCGCCATTGTTGTTTATTGTTATTTAATTATAGTTCATTTAGTAAACTGCTTTAATTTCCTGTTGGAAAAGGTTCAATGAGAGGTCTTGACATTATTTTGTCAAAAAATAAAACTCATATTTTTTTTTTTTGATTTATTAACACTTGTCCAAAAGTAGACACAAAACGACAAAGACCGGAAGATTTTATTAACATTTTTGCCGTAGAGGAATACTAGTTGCCTTACATCACTATGACCTAATCATTTAGCAATTTCAAAATCTGTTATTTTTTAAGATTTGAGAATTTTTATCAAATTCTTTAATATTTCTCACTCAACGTATTGGCAAAAGTATAAAGAAAAGTTTTATATACATAAAAAAAATACTGTGCATTGAATTTGTTCATTTTTAAAAGCAGTAAAAATGAATTTGTAACAAATAAAAATGTAGTTAGTTTTTTTTTTTATGATATAAAATGTTTAATTTCCCACTAACGTGTCAGTTAACTTGATCTGACAACCAATAATACTAAATAACTTCCTGTTTAAACCTGTTGTTGGGTGTTAGGATAAATAACTTAAATTTTACATTTTAAAAACAGCTGTTGATTTAATTAAGGGTGTTTCCAAAGAACTGTTTGCTAATTTTGTTTTTTATGCTTAATGACCCATAAAATTCGAGATTAAAAACGCTGAAATTATTGTTTTGGTCTACTTTTTGCACACTAACTGATAAGCTTTTTGACCCATATTATTTCCCTAGACCTTCAAACGAACTTTCCACTTTTTCCAATGAAATTGAATTTCAAAATCTTATTTAAAGTGTTGTTAGCTTCTCACAATATGAGCAATTTAAAGACTTGTTGAGATGTGCAAACGGTACTTGCACATAACGTCTCATAAGTTCAGTTAGCATTAAGAACTGTTACATTGTTGCATTCACGAAATGTGCACAACTTTGGCAAAATTCAGCAACATCGGGAGCGTGTAAATGCACACTATGACCATCTCTAAATAGCGTAAAGTGGATCCACAATTAAATAATTTTCCACCTAAAAACCATGAATAGATACCGGCAATTACATTTGACATAATGGACATACAGGGCGACAAAAAAAGTCATGTTGTGACAACTTAACAAATTATACAAGTGATTATAAAGTATAAAATCAAGCAGTTTTTTTTAAATCATTTGCCCCCAGAAAATAATAATTAATATAAATTAAAGTAATATAAAAAAATGTGATTCTATTTTGAGAACGAAATTTTGTTTTGTTTTTAAGTTATGCGATTTTTATTTG